AGACAAGAATGGCGATTTTGAGCCAACAGAGTAAACCAAAGAAGGTGGATGCTTCGATCTCTACTTCTTGTGTTTCTGACTTAATTTTATTTTATGTATTTTTAAAACACAATTGATTTAACAAATAAAATCGATCTGAAGCTGGTAAATACAGTTAATATACATATAAAATATCGTTTAAATCATACTTTGTTTGCTTTTGACGAATATACAATTCTAAACCAACTATATATTCAACATAGAAACCCATGTCAATGCGTTCATTATTGCTCAACATCTGTAAAACGGTTACATACGGTTTTAGATTTACTTCAATACAAACGCCTAAAATTACGTGGATGCACTGGAATATCTAAATGAAGTAATAATTAAAGAATTTTAATTAATATTCTCTCGTATGTTGTCGAAGCACAACACAGACTGAACATGAAACTGAAAATTGTGGTTTTCCAAACCCAAATTCAAGGTACTTGAATTTATCAAACCTTTACTCATTTTTGGTATGTTCTCTGTTTTCTAAAATTCTTGAAACTCTCAGTTTCTTGCTGGTTGTACACACTACATTAAACAAGTGTGTTGTGTTGGTTGAGAGAAGCATTGAAGAAGATGAGATTGCGTTTGGAGATCGGAAACTTGTAGATTTTCTATATTTTCGCCACTTTTATCCACCAAAGAAATGAATTTTGTTGAAATAGGTAGCTATACTCCTGATTTCTATCATTTTTTGCTTTGACTGCAAAAAGTCGCTTTCTGAGCACCTAGAATCTTTTCCAACTCACCAAGACATTTCTAATATAGAAAAATGACTGTGCTTGTTCTATTTCGTGTCTTTTAGCTTCATTTCTTTCTCCTGTATGAACTGTAACTGTATTATAGAAGGACGAAATGTACATCTTAACTTTGCTCCATATTCAACTCACATACTGCGTTAGCTTCATTTATTTTCTGGTTCAATTTCATATCGTACCAATAAAAGGCAGAGAGGAAGAGAGAAAGAGAAAGAACGATAAAGTTCAAGGTCACTACAGTCATTTCTCGCTGAACTGTTCATTGTGTAAGTTGAAATTCCCTGATAGACATGTGTGAGGTGAGAAATAAAAATATAAGTAAAGCTTGAAAATAGGAAGAAGGACGTATACTGCGCTAGTTCATCTAACTGCAAAAAGACGAAATAATTATATCGACCTATCTCATTTGTCTAGGTTCCGTATTTGCACCCGGTTCCGGTGACTCCGTTAGTGCCGGATCAGCCATTGAGTGATTTGCAGGACGTCGCCGTGACAAGTGACACACAGACGTCGGGCATGAATATATTTGATTACTATGGACAGTGATAGTGAATGTTTGTTTTCTTAATATAGCCACTATTCAGTCGGAAAACGAAGGTGTTGATGGCATGATAATATTTCTGCCGTTGGCGGTTTATATGACCGATGGCAGCGCATTCGAGATCGCTGTCTCTTCGGCCTTGACATGGGGATTTTTGATGCTCGGGCAGTTGTGTAAGTATTTGGAGCTGTTCGGCGATACATCTGGGAATAACAGTTCTTTTGTGCATTCTAGATGCGCTATTCATAATCGCACAACGATAGTAGGAACTGTAACAACTGCCTCGGTATCAGTTTTTTTGTGGGTGTTTTCTATATTTTTATTTTTGTACAATAAGTACATACATACAATCTTTCTTTGCATGGAATAAGGCGTTTTCTGGCTAAAAAGGTTAGGGGGTTCAAAGAATGGCTTTTCGGACTATACTCACTTCTGTATTTGTGTACAGAATTTTATCGCCATTTTACTAATCCCGTTACTTTCGTACAAAGAGAATCAACAAGATTTATTATATTGCCTCCTTCGGTTCTATTTACTGAAAGATTAGAACTTCCATAAATCACACCACCTTTTTGTAGGTATTAATTGTTCACGTTTACTAGACGTTCTTACATTCTTTGTCTCACTTATGCCATCGACCATAGTGTTACATTGACTAAACCTGTTAAAAGTTAAAAAATGCTGTACAGGGACTGGACATACAGTCCGATTACAGTGAGTCTTTTTTGCAGATTTCTTCCTTGAATGATAAAAAAGAATGAATAGACGAAAAACACATCGAATTAATGTCCATTTTATGTGTGCTTGCGTTTTAAACTGAATGTGATCATGGTAACGAGCACAATTGCGTTTTTTTCTAGCTACCGTCTTTGATCGTGCTGATTTAACCATAGGTCTTTTTTGGACAAGAATTTTCAGTTCTTCTTAACAAGTTCTAGTATGCACTCGTGATGATGCTCATGGCGTGTGCCACGACCGAAAGCCTGATACCGTCCAAAGAAGAAAATTTCCCCAGTTAAAATGAAATTTTTAGAGTACAGAGGCTTAATACGTATTACATCAACTTCTTAGGGATTTTAGGTTTAATTATTTTACACAACAAAATTTCAGACGGCGAGAGAGAAACATGTAGTAAAAAATTTGATCTTGTCAACCGTGCACTAAGCTGCGGTTAACAATCAGTCTTTTTGTTTTCATAGCAATTGCTTTCTCTCATGTAGATAAATAATTTAAACCTACTGTTATAGTTATGAGCACAGTTATGAATGTATACGTAGTGCCTATGCGAAGGATATGACGTGATGATTTATTACCTGGCAGAGAAAAATATTTTTTCTGAAAAATATACTCATTTTGTGGCACCAGTTATAAGATAGCTAAAGCAATCCGAAAACTAACGTCAGTGATGCCATGTACGACTCTACTATTTTCGAATGATCTTTTTCTTAAATTTATACCATCAGAGATAACCGAGAATGGTGGGCGAAAATACTAGAAGAAAAAGGGTAGAGAAAGAAACAATTAAAAACAACATACGACTCAAAGTGAAAAGCAATAACTCGTGAGTCGGCTTAAAAGAGACAGTGACTGTTTACTCTGCCGAGTAAGATCAAACCAGAAATTCATTTATATCCCTTTTCGATTCTCATATTTAAAACGACGGTTGTTCTAGTCACTTCTGTCCATATTAGAGTTTCTTTTCGTTTCTGTCTTTGTTTTTTGACAATCTCATATACGACAAGACCCATTGCGCCAATTTTTAAAATATGCCATTTATTTTTTTTTTATTATTTTTAATGCAAAAATCAATTTAAATCTATTTTTTTTGAAAAAAAATCTATTTAAATTCACTTTTTTAAATTCTTTTAGAAGAATCTGTTTAAAATAATTTTTAAAAAAATTCATTCTGCCTAAGTTTTCGTGTAAAAAATCTATTTAAATTCGTTTCTATTTCATAAATCTGGTTTTAGTTTTTGCGAAAATTTATTTAAATGTATTTTATTTTTATTTGAAGAAAACCTTTTACAAAAACTAAAACCAGACTCATTGAGATAGAAATGAATTTAAACAGATTTTTCGCACGAAAAGTTACGCAGAATGAATTTAAATGAATTTTTCTAAAAGAATTTTGAAAAAATGAATTAAATAGGTTTTTATTCAAAAATATCGATTTAAATTGATTGTAACATTAACATTTTTAACACAACATTTAACATTTTTAGCATAAAAAAATTTGATCTAATTTGATTTCTGTATTTAAAAATATGGATTTACTCTGTACTCTTCTGTATCATTCATTTCTCTCAACATCATCAAAAATCATACGACTGTTATGGCTAGAACTGCTAATATATCAAAGAAACGTAAAGTGAGTTCTTTTTGTCTTTTCCCTTCTCTTTTTGAATGGAAATTGTTCTCTTTCTGTCGTGTCTAGTTTATAAGTGAAGGTGTATTTCATACGGAATTGAATGAATTTTTTACACGTGAATTAGCTGAAGATGGCTATTCAGGTTTGGACATACCTTACACCACAACGTACAGAAATTATGATTATGGTAACAAAAATGCAACAAGTTTTAGGTGAAAAAGGTCAACCAAATCGGGAATTAGCATCAATCACACAAAAAAGATTTAGTTATCCTGAAAAAATCGAAGTGACTATGTAGTAGAGAGAGGCCCTTCTTCTCCTTGGGTTAGTTCGCCAACACATGGCATTTTCTTTTGAAAGATGAAGGAGGAAGATTGAGGCTTAGTAGATTCTATTTCCCTTTGTTTCTCAATCTAACATGTTTTTTGTGTAGCCAGGGCCACAGTGGACATTGACTGCGGCCAAGCTAAGTATGTGTTGAAGGTTTTGTATTTTTAATTTTAAAAGACAGCTTTGATTTTAGATTCCATGCCAAAGTGCTTAGTTAACACAACCCACCGACCATTCCGGTTTGCTCGTTCATTAGCATGCAGTCTAAAGCGCTTCCATCTACTAGTTGTTTATGGTCTATGGGAACCAGAAAGAAGAATTAAACGTGATTATACAGGTAACTCATGAATTCTGCGCGAGAAACAGCGCAGGCAATTTCTACAGCAGTGAACACCATCTTTGTATCTCTATTTGAAATTACCCTAAATAGTGAATTGTAGAGATACTAAATTTCTATAGGAGTGAACTACAATACCTTGCCTGCTATAATTGTTTTTCTAAAAATAAATTTCAATTTTTATCGTTCTTATTTGCAGGAAAATATGTTGTGTTTTGGAATTACGGACAATTAATAGAGTATCTTTATTTGAAATTACCAGCAAAACATCTAATGGTCCAACGTTATCATAACAACACGCATAAAATTGAAATACATTTGCTTTTACTCAGTCTTTTATCTCGTTGTCCACTCGATCATCATTCATTTACATCAATGTGCCAAGAATTCTGTTACTATTACTACATGGATCACTTTAAAGATGAACGTACTTTAATCCGACTTTGTACGCAATATTCATCTGAAACTCCCATCTCCTGGTATAGGCGTGACACGTTTGTATATCGTATAATAAATCAAATTTTACGACAGAAACACTTTCTAAATATTTATCATCGATTTATCATCTAAATATTATTCATCGATCTCTACCGTCAACTATATGTAACATATAGAGACCAGTGACTAGACGAATCAATGATTTTAACCGTCTATCGTGGGCAGCAATTGCGTCGTTCGGAACTGAATAAATTAATTCCCAATACTGATCATCTCATCTTTAATAATAGTTTTCTATCCACCACGTTTAATCGAGTACTCGCTCTCCTATTTGCTGGCAGTGTCAGCTCTTCCAATTCTGCCCTTTCTGTCTCCATTCTATTTGAAATTGAAATCGATACATCACACACAACTCGTCCATATGCTTATATTAACGGTAGTGGTGATGAAGCTGAACTTATTATAACACCTGGCTTTGTATTTCGTTTATTATCTGTTGATAAAGACAACAACACTACTATGTCTAATGAACTTTGGCTAATTAAACTAAAATCAGCCGATCATACAGAATTTCTGAGTGAAACATCAACATTATTGATCGGGGCCGGCCAGCCGGTCGTGATAAGCTTTCTGCCTCTTTTTGTTGTTGTAAAAACAAAGTCACCTGATGAAACCCTTGAGCAAGGTTGAAACCGGCGGTTTATTACTTCTTCATTTCCGATAAATAAGACTAAATCATACAGATCATACCGAATTCCTGGGTGAAAAAAAGTGTTCGTACTAATGTGATATTCTAAATGACTGTTAAGAACAGTCATGAACCATGATTGAGGTATATCACTAGTTTATGTGCTCGCTAAATAAATGGGTAGTTTTCAAAATCTGAGCGGGTTTAAAATCCATTTTCTTTCTAAATTTCTTCTTTAAACTCAAACCTTATCATTCGACTCCAATAAATTATTTGTTATCAACGGATTTTTGATTCTGAAAATATAGATTGTATAGAGTAAATAGAACTTACGAGTTTAGTGCCGCATTCCAGATAGGATTGTTTGTGTCCTTAATTGTTGATGTTGTTGTTAATAATCGTTATGTAGATACACTTCAATATAGGCATCAGTCTCACCCAGAACATCTTTGTTTTTTAAAATGTTTCCTTCAACGAGTGTGTTCTGTAGTTGCCCGTGCATTATATTATTTGCTGGCCTACTTAGTTCGTGTTTCCACGTTAAAGAATATATTTGAAGACGTTTTTGTTCCTTTTGGTATAGTCATGATGACGATGACGTTTATAGTCTTTCTGGTTAAAATTTATTTTGGTTTCTATACTTCAAGTAAGAAAAAACGTGAGAGAGAAAGAAAGAGAACGCGTGGAAAAAATGCAAAATTATATGGAGGAAAAAAGAATACTTGCGTAGAATAAATGTTTTGTGTTAGGATGTGTATGATTCAGATTTCTCCTTCATCAATAATAACAAGAATTATGAAAAGAGAAAGAAAACAGAAACATCGTGCTCCGCATGTTCCTCTACAATATACGATGAATAAATTGCGACTAATCAAGGTTTATTTTCTCCACACACCTGTCATAAGACAACAATCAAATTTGAAAAGTATACTATATAGTAAGTTAGTAGTGAAACAAAGAGTACACGTGGTAGGAGTCGATTTCAGTCCTAATATACATTGCAAATCCAAAAGCATTTTTGTCTCCGTCCATACTAGTTATTGCATTCTAGTAGAAATTATATAGCAGTCTTTTTCTCACAAATATCGTTAGTAACAAGATTTCTTGTATAAAGAAAACTGTGTAACAAGTTGGACAAAAAGTTCTTATAGTTTTCTGTTGTTAATTGTCGCTTAACACGTCAATCGATTTATTGCGAGCATCTCTTCTTGACTTTTTTAAATGGAATGATGTGTTGCTTAGATCTTTCATTCTTTTGCTATTCCAGTCTCCAATAACAATCGATGGATCAGTTCTCTTGGCTATTCAGGGATTACCAACGTTTGATATCACTTCAGCTAACCGTGACTTCTCAGTTCTAATCGTTTCTTAACAACGCGGACTTAGTGTTAGAATCAATGTTTTACACAGTAATATACACAATATTCTTCATTTTATTCTATAGTAATGATCAAATACGAGTTTCAAAAAAGTTGTTTGTTTTCGAACTGTTTTTCAGAGACTGTAGATACTGTAGAACTAGGAGTGATCTCGAAAGATGAAGTATAAACAGATCTTTGCACATGTTGTGAAAAAAAATCGAAGTTTTAATGAGTTTTGTGTTGAAAATGTACTGAAAGGCTTGATATAAGAGCAGATGTATCTTTAAGTACAAATAGATTTCCTGAAATGCATAGGTAAAATTTTCAAATTTCTTTAGTTTTCTCGCTCCGCATTAGAACTTGTCTAACGTCTAGAGAATACTGTTTATAGGAGAGATATTCGTTTGTGTGTACGACCTTCATACGAATGTATCATCATAACTCGTAGTTTCCTTTTGCACAATTTAGTGCAATGGGAAAATGCGTAGTTGGAGAAGTACAGCGTATGAAAGGTCGGAAGATCGAATCCAGGAGAAGAACACCTAAAAATTGTTCTAAATTGTCTAACGTCTGTTAATATTTTCCTTACTCATAGTAGTCTTGTGTATCGTCTAGCCCAGAGCCCTGCAGGTTGATCCTAACCTAACCTAACCTAGGTTAGGTTAGGATTAGGTTGCAAAAGCTATAGATTAGGTTAGGATTAGGTTGCAAAAGTTATAGGCTAGCTAGGTTAGGTTATAGGTTGTTCTATTTTTTTTTTCAATGGTTAGGTTAGGATTAGGTTGTCGAATCCATAGGTTAGGTTAGGATTAGGTTGTGAAATCTTTTATAGGTTAGGTTATAGGTTGCCAAATATTGGCAACCTGCAGGATTCTGGTCTAGCCTGTCCATTGCGAGTGACCTGCACATAAAGAATATTCTGACTTTCACTAAAAATTAAAGGTATGAAAGATAAGATGTTGTAGAGCCTGTTCACGTTACGGTCTACCAACATGCAGGAGGGTCAAACAAAATGTTTCTCTGGAATAAACCTTAAACTCGCATCATCCGACACAGTTTGGCACGCTAATTAGAAATATCAACCTTAAAACGAATAAACGTTTAATTTTAAGCGTAAAATTTAAACTGGAATTTTTGAAGTTTTTGAATTTGATGCTCTGATCCATTTATTTTCTGACAAAGTTCTAAAAATATCATGAGGAGATGGAGAATCAAATTGTCTACAAAATGCACTATTTCATATTGAGAATTAACATCGCAAAAAAGGATTTTATAAACGTAACTAGTTTTCGGTGATGTTTAGTAACTTTTTTTACGGCTCTTCTTCTATGCGAACTTGCGCCAACTTCAGACATTTTTTTGACTTCATTTTTTGGCTGTGTCGAGTAAAGGGTCCTTGATTGTACCTGTTTCATTTCAAATCAGACCTTGCCTATCCCATTACTAAACCTTAGATATCAAATAACCTTCGCAAAAAAAATGTCAGGAAAGAGGTCAGTCCAATACGCTAAATGTCAGTCTGTTACGTTTTTATTTTTTTTTCTCCATTCTGTAGGAAACATTATTAAACATTTTCACTTTTACCATACGATAGAGCACCGTCTTAGCCACAGTTTTTGTAACAAGAAGTTTCATTCGACTTCTAATTGAACGGAAAAGTGAGCATATTTCATCTGTAACCGATAATCACTTCCATTTTTGGTTAATCCGTTACGGGTTGAGTTTTCGTTCTGAAGAATTAACAAAGAATCTAATCGTATGATTTCTTGTATATTCATCAGGGCGCACATAGTGACGCAAAAATCTTTATCTATCGCAGTTTTCGAGAAAATCATAATAGACATCTAAAAATGGTCAGTCCGTTACGCGTGAATAGGCTGTGTATAGTATGATAAAGAAAATCAACATGTTCGTAAATCTTGAATTTCTAGTCTTTTAAGGAAAATAGTATATGTGAGAATTGGAGACAAACGACAATAAATGAACTTGAAATTGGCAAAGGATAAATTTTTTCAGTACAAGAGTTTCTTATAAAAAAAGTAATCTTGGATAAAACTTTAACTATAAACAACTTTGTTTATTTCATTTCTATTGTAGATAATCATGACAATAACGAGATTCGAAGATTTATCCAGCGAAATTCTGATGAATATTTTTGATTTTTTGGATGCGTTTGATGTTATTCAAACGTTTTATGGCCTTAACTGTCGTTTAAATAATCTAATCGATGATGAACGATTATTTCTTTATTCGAATTTAGCAAATGTTCCTATTAGCAAAATTAACTATTTTTCTCATCATGTCGTACCCAAATTATATTCACTGGTGTTATGTAATTTGAATCTTCAACCAGAGATAATGTTGTTGACGACCAACGAAAATAATAATCATTCCGTTGCGACAATAATGAATACTCCATGCACGAGTTTTGAAAACGAGAATCGATTACATTTATTTTGTTCATCGTTCAATTTCGATCAATATCCTCTAAATCGCCTTCATTCACTGTCATTGATCGAAATTAAGTTTAATGAATTACTTCATTTATCGTCTCGTTTTCACATATTATTACCGAAATTACAATTGTTGACAATCGAAACTCATCAACCAATTTCCGTATTCCAGTTAAATAATTTATGTACAACGACTATATTCAACAGATTAGCTCTAGCGTCTCTCAGAATTTGTTCATTAACCTTTTATCATTCAAATCGTGTTCTCGTTCAAAATAAAATTGTCGAATCAAATATAGAAATATTAAATATTGGTTATCTATGTAGCGTGAACAATCTTCTCACTATTCTCCAATGTACAAAGCATCTTCGACGACTGTCTATCGCTCTCTGGGAAGATGCGGACCACTATGCTGGAAATATAAACTCTATTTCGATGGTATGTTCGAGTTTGAAATACTTTCATCTCAATCTGGCATTCGATGTATCATTTCAAAAATTACTCAACGTATTTCATTACATGCCAAATCTCGAGACACTTATAATCAAAGGTACTTTTGGTGATAAACATTACATCAAAGGTGAAGAATCGAAACATGTCTTTTCAACAATACTCACCCTTCTCAAACGTTTCTCATTGAATATTGAAACAAAACAACGTCAACCATTATCAATCGACGTCAGTGATTTATCGTCGAGATATTTTACCGACTACTGGCAACAACAAAACTTCAATGTTCACTATCAGATCGATCCCAGTCGGTCGATGCTCAACGTCAATGGCGTACCCGTTCGAGCCAGCCATGTAAAATTAGTTGTTGACGGCCGGTTTATACGATAAGTTCTGTGTATGCCAATAAAATGATCGTATTTTCTCCTTCGTGCTCTTTCTCTACGTTCTTTAAAGACATTGTTTTATTATTTTCCAAAATGCATCAAAACACGTTGTCCTCTATCGCGTTTCTCGACTTCAAATAGTTATGTGCTAAAACGCGCTAAGAATGATGCTTGTCGTGTACGTGCAGGGTTCATATCGTCTTGGAACAGTACTGAAAAAAGCCAGTACACCCACTGAAAAAAATAATCAAAATTCATGCAGGATCCTGCGGGTTATCAGTATTAAAATATCTGGCGATGTTTCTTACCTTTACGCAGGATTTTTATACTGCCAGCCCTGACAGAACTCTGCATAG